ATGCAAACGTCCCTGACTTTGTTGGTTCTGTAGTAATACACAGTTGATTGATTCGTCCATTTTGTGCGCTGCTTCAACATCAGTAAATCCCTACTCATATGTCCTCCCATGTTGCTCAATCCTGCTGTTGTACATCCACACAACTCTTCTGAAGTCCTTGGCATTCAGGTGATATACCCTGCTGGAACAGGCGTGACGTGAGTTTATATAATTCCACTCATGTACGGTAAAAAGCCATCAGAAAATATGTAGTTTACAAGTACCTTGGAGTTAGGCAGACCAGTCAGGCGTAGTAAAATTAATGTTGTGTTTCCTGTGTCAGTCCTGAAAGCACTAGGGTTGATAGGTAGGGATTTTCTTTTGTTTTTAGTTTTTTTTTTATAGATTTCGGTCAATCTAATCCGACAAATAAAGTTTAACAAAACATTGAGACTGTCTTATGGACTCGTCCACCTGTTTCTTGCAGACAAATATTTCACCCGATTTACTGAAGAAAAAATAAACGATCTGAAAATGGGTTAAATGACCTTTGAGGGCTTGAAATTCAGGTGTCAGATCAAAAATTTTATAGCCTTACCAGCGGTCGATAAAAAAAAGGCTAGGGTCGGCGGGTTTTTGCTAAGGTTGGTCAGGAAACTGGAAAGACAACATTTTTTCCTAGGCCTTATAATGGCTTAGGCCTATGTCTTTACTTTTAACTTGTTTGTGCATTCAAGTTACAACTGCAAGCTCCATTCATGATACAATCCTTTTCTAAGTTCGTATTCCCAATGTTCACTTTTCTCTTATTACATATGGAGTGTATTCTGCCTTCCTACATAAAAATTTTGGACGTTGAATTTTTCAATAGCTTGGTTCCACTTTCATATGGTACCTCCTGAATTTTTCAAATACCCTTTGACTAACAATGCATTACCGGTACAAGAGGGCAGAACCCTAGAGGACCACTGTTTGTTTGTTTGTTTGTTTGTTTGTTTGTTTGTTTCGCATAACCGGTAAACCGCCTTCAGGCGTAACACACCAGTTTTGTACATGTGCGCACATGTACAAGCTGCGTAAGACCGGACTGTAAGTTTTGGACCACTCACACCGGGAAGATCCCCTACTCTTTTCGATAAGTGTAGTGGGTTCTTTAACGTGCATGGGGTGTGGCTCTCCCAAACACGGGACCTCCATTTAACGTCCTATCCGAGGGACGTCCCTAACCGAAGCTAGGTACTCATTTTCACCTGAGTGAAGTGAGGAAAGTCGTGTAAAGTGCCTTTCCCAAGGGCACAAGATCGGTGACATGGGCAGGGTTCGAACCCACAACCTCTGGGGTGTGAGCCGAACGCGCTACCGACTGCGCCACACGACCGACTGCGCCACACGACCGACTGCGCCACACGACCCCACTGTTGGAGGTTTCGGCCTGTCACCATTTGTTTTGCCCCTGCTGTGTCCCTAGTCAGCCTTTACTGTAATCAGATACAGCACAGATGTCCCAGGATTATGTGGCATGGCCTGATCAGGCCACCACTGACCCAGAAAACACTTCATTATCAACCCATAACTCTACCATATGGTGTTATGAAAATCAGATTATCCTCCATAGTTATTAAATCATACCTGTGCCGCGTCTTAAAACTAGCACAATGTTACTCGTAGGATTACTTGCATTGTAGTCTTTTCTAGGAGTTACTTTGTAAATTTAAAGCTGTAAAGTACAGTTCTTCTCTGTGTATTTAGCAGTCATAAGAATTGATTATTCAAATGGTTTTCATTCTCATTTATTAGTGCCATGCAGACAGGGTTTCAAAAATTCAATGCCTATTCAGAAATCTTGTGTTTGGTCATTAAGGACCACAATAGCAATTTATCTAACTTAAGTGAATTGACGTTTCAGTAACTGTAGAATGTCTTAAGTCTCCACCAGACTAACAACTCAGGATCAAAAACAGTAAAATTTGGCAAATAGGGACAATAATTGGCCAGTGGAGTTTAGCCAACATTGAGTTCATTGGCCTTTAGGATAGTAACCCTCCCGTGGACTGACTATTTCCTTTCTGCGATCCGTACCCCCGTAGGAAGGCCTGGTGGAGTTTCTTCACAAATTGACCAGCTACTAAGTAGAGTGTTTTCTAAGAATTGCTTACTTCTCCTTTGTGTGTGTGTGTGTTTCGTTTAGTCTAGACGTGTGTTCCGTTGAGGTCCAACTGTATAGAGGCTGCAGAGTACGGCACAGTTATTTAGTATTGATTGACCTGCTGACCTTATCCATCAAATGTGCGGGCCGACGAGCGACGGTCGGGTCGCTCTCATCGTGACGAGGCGGCACCTCTAACACCTCTCCTCAGGGCGGGATTTACCCGACGTGAAAAACACATGCGTCCTGTCCTGATGGCTTCAGATGGAGGAACATCTCGCACATTGCTGTGTCATAGATCACACGCGGACGCGCGGCCCTACATCTGTGTATCTGGGTCAATGCTGCTATTTGTCTTGGGAAACATGATAACATTCTGAGTTCTAGTTCTATATAATACTGGGCAAAGCCCTATCTAGGGCATCCCGCCCAGGGTGCACGGCTATTGCGGCCGGTGGGGTGCGGTGAGGAAAAATGTGTATGAAAATAAAACAAAACCGAACATAAATTTGTGCATTTTGTGAATGGCCGCAATTAGCAATCCCGACATACATCTGTGGGACGGGGTGGCCCAGGTGCAGGGCCAACCCCGTCTTGAATGTGTCGACAGATAGTTGTGTCACTAGATGTTCTGGTAGTGCATTCCATTCTATGATAGTTCTTGGGAAGTAACTGGATCTGAAAATGTTTGTTTTGCAACTGAGAGTTGTGTCCTGTGTGCAGGGAATTCTCAGTCACAGCACATCAAAAGGGTCTTCCTCACATGGGGAAAGTCTGTATGTCACACTTTCTCAGGACACACTGACTTTAAGTTTACAATGTATGTTAGCTGTAGGGGTCATCCTCCCATAGAAGACTAGCTGTCACTTACATGTAGTTATAGGTAGTAATGGTTTCATACTTTATATGTATGAATTAAAACTTTAGTTTCTGGGTTTCTGGGCAGAGAACTTAAATGTATAATACAGACCACGTATCATATTGTTAGGCCCTGGGAGACTTTGGATAAGACCCATCTATGATAGATATTTAATCAACCTCCATAAACTTTGATATGAAAGAGGTCTGGCTTTTTCCTTTTTTCAGAAAAAAAGCTTTTGGATGGGTTATTGTTGTTTCTGGCACATTAGGAGGCTGCATCGTAACAATTTTGGTGGTAAAGTCTTGTGCATTTAAGAAAACTAACCGGCAATTTGAAATATTTGCACTTACCTCTAACCACAAACACATCAATCCAGCAAAAATTTGCTGTTTCAACCGTAAAATTGAAGTGTGAATTTAAATGAATTTATTGTACCAAAGCTTTGGCATAGCCTTGTATAGTGCAATTTCAATGAACGCTCTCTTTTACTCAATGTTAGGTTTTTGACCCCAACGTAACATTTGTCTCACCCCCGTATTGGCATGACACGTCCCAGGTGCTATTGGGAATGGATTGGTCCACTGTAAAGGATGGGGATGGATTTTTCTTCATTAATGAGGACCATAAAGGACCACTCAAAAGCTCAGCGCAAAAAGTAGGTTAATGGAGGGAGTTTGAAGTTTTCAATCAGTGGTCAATGTTTGAGGTTAGCTGGTCATTTTTCACCGCAGATGGTCATCAGTGAGTGTTGTTTCCGGTGTATTGTTTTCTCGGTACGGAGACTGGTCGTAGATTACTGGAAAATGGGAGAAAGGTACATCTGTCTTTATTGGAGGGATGTTAGATGCATATTGATCGGACACGTGGCAGGAACTTGTGAACTTCAGACTATCATCATCATTGGCGGGAGTACTATATCTGTGTAGCCGGTATAACCGCCTTTTGGCGTAAGACACCAGCTTCGCAGGCACGTGGCACGGTGGCAGCTGGCTACATTACAACGATCGACTTGTTACACCTAGCGCTTGAACAACTAACTTTAGACATTGTTTAAAGGTATCTAACCTGCAATCTTATTCACTATACACAAGACTTTCATGTTCTGTGATTTCTTTCAATGGATTCAAATAGCAAATCCAAATATGTATTGACATATTACATCCCACGCATTTTACATCAACGACCTTATTTCAAAAATGGCCTACTAGAAATTCCACTAATGATTGTAAAACTAAAAGCTTATCTTTGTCATCCCATACTTCTTAGTGTACATGATTGTAGACTTTTTAAGCAACATTAGTCAAATACTTACATTGTATGTCAAATCTTGTTCAACTTGTTATATAGCTGCAGTAGATGCCACACATCGTACCTTGTACAAAATTAAATTATTGTTCTGCAATAAAGCTGATTTTTTTAGTGTTTGAGTCATTTTTGTGTCCCCAAATCCTTGCATAAAATTGTATTGCCCAGTCATTACGAATATTATTAAGTATGTGCAACGTGGCCTATGATTGTCATTAACTTTCTTCCTGCTGAGTTATGCTGGAAGCAATAGAAGTTTGGTGCAGTATTACATAAGCCCAAAGGAGGGAAGAGGTTATTAATAATAATAACAATGAGCTACATGTAACAAGTAACATACTTTGTATCATTATGCATACAAAATTGTATGTAATAATTCATTTTCCTAAAGGAAAGGTATTTATATTGTTTTTACTCAGTTTCTTCCTCTTCTGTTCCAAACACTAACCTCTGACCTGGCCAATGACATGATTTGTTGATGTCTGCCACCGTGGTGACTGGTGTTGGGTTACATAATGTTACAATTTCATGGTCTGCTCTACTCCTGTCAGCATATACTCATAGTACATATATGTGGATGTGTTTGAGTACAAATTAACAGAGCAGACCATGTCCAAAGGTAAACATCATGCATTTGCTTTGCAAATGTTACTTCTCTAGAGTTTAAAAGTACTTTTGCTAAGAAGATTTTTTTGTTATTTCCTGCAGGTGGAGGTAGAAGTTGAGGCCATCGACAAGGCTGGGAACTTCATCGGCTGGCTGTTTGTAGATGGAGTTAACCTGTCTGTGGCGCTGGTGAAGGAAGGTCTGTCCAAGGTCCACTTCACCGCCGAGCGCAGCCAGTACTACCACCATCTCGTGTCTGCCGAGGAGGAGGCCAAGAAGGAGAAGATCAAGGTGAAACTTCGCTTCTTAGGCCACACCAATTTAATTTGTTGTTTCTCGGATTTTGTCAGAAAAAATATGAAGCGACAGGGCGAAATAAAAATTAAAAAATAAAACAGGCCAAGGCACCCCATGAAGGCCGGAAATGTTAGATATGAACCATGAGGTCAACATACCAGGCTGTTTTATATTTCAAACAATAATTTTGAACTTTTAATGAAATGAAGTTGCATTGTTACATTGAAAAACTGTAACAACTAGGAAGAAAAGGACTTTCTTCAACTGTTGGTGCCAAAATATGTCTTTCACCGAGAATTTTGCAGTTGATTCAGAACCTGAAATCTTTTTTCTTTTTTTTCTTGCAAATCAGAATAAAATGGACAGGGCGAATCCGAGAAACAACAAATTAAATTGGTGTGGCCTTATCTACAGCAAATAGATATGTGACTGAGCTGTGGGTTTGACCTTATCTGTTTGCCCTGAAAGAGCTGGTTGACAGCACATCGGTAGGAAAGATTGACAGGCAGAATAGCGGGAGTATTCAATAATAAACCAATCATCATCATCAAGGTCAAACTATCTTGTTTGCTCCAAGGTCATTGCATAGTAGCCTTCTCTCAACAGCAGGGGGGGGCGGTAGTTTACCGACTTATGACAAAATTCGACCCAATGCTGATGTCACACATGGGAAATCGCGGAGCAGATAGCTGATGAAGACTAATAGATTTTTATTTTTATCATACAATGTAGTATGCAATTTTAATTACCAATTCAGATGAACTTATATGATGCTTAGATTATGAAACTTCACAAGAAAACAGCATCATGATATTTAGTCAATTTTTTGTTACTTAAAAAGCGACACTCACTCACTATCTATTTTATTGTCTGTTGTTGCCCATAAATTATATTTACTAGACACTATGTTTTTGGAAGGTTCAATTGCTAACATTAAAAACACCCTACAAGAAAATTACACCCATTGCGTGTCAGTTCCAAGCTGAGTTGATTGGTGGTGCTTCAGAAAGTGTACAGTCAAAATGGAGGACTGACGACACTTGTTGGAATGTGTTAATTGCCAGCTGTGCCTTCACCCAAATGCACATCATAATAGGTTGATGAAAAAAGACAATGTTTTGGCTTTTCTCTCCTGCTAAAAGCATTTTGAAATTCTTCAGAGGGAAAATTTTGGTGGCTACATTTTGTGTAGAACTAAAAATTTAATAATGAGTAAAAACTATATAGTGTTGCAAGTTGCCTTAACAAAAACTTTTCACAAAGTTTTGACAGGGAAATTATAACACTTTGGAAAAAGATCATGGCATCTAACTGATAATTAATTGATCTTTTAAAAAACCTAGAATATCATAATCGATAACATTTGTGTCAGGTAAGCCTCTTTTGGCGTAAGATCCATTCATAAGTCATTGTTACAGTTTGATAAATGTTTTTCCCGGCACCCGGCCCAGAAAGTGCCAATACTAACTGTAGCCTAAGTTGAGGACGTGTTCTTTATTAACACAGCAGACAGGTCAGACTAGCTGTGGAGTGATTGCAGTGACATTTATGTGGAGTGTTTTGGTAGATATGCTGCAACTGCTGATGTTTAGGAATGAATGGGATTTTATATCTGTTGTCTGGATAAGGCTTTGTAGTGATTGCGATGGTTGCATTTTGAAACTTGCTGTAATGCCATTTTTTAAAGCTTTAACGATAGAATTCACTATAATAATTAATTAATTGTTACAATTTGGTAAAGTCATTAAAGATGTTAATTTTGTTCAACTATACGTACAATGTATAGTCTAAAAACTTTGAACTTACTGATTTCTTCATGACATTGTCACGTAATTAGGGGTGTAACTTACATGTAGTCATGACAAATGATAGAGACATTAATGTATGGAACTGTGATTCATATGATCTATACATGTGAATGATCTATACATGTAAATGGATGAGAATAGCTAGAAAGTAGAAGCATTTATTTGATATAGTTGATATATTTGATATACTAGTAGTTGATTCAAACTGTACATTACATGTAATGTAATTGTAATTGTACAGGTCAAGAGATATTAGAATTTCACACTCGTCTTGGCCGTTGTTAAGCGTGGCAAGCGAGTAGCGCCTTGTTGACATCAGAAGTTATGATTACCAATCTCGTGGCCGCACACTTCTTTGTTAAAGTTTGATTGATCCAGCTCCGGCGTCTGAAGTGTCGGTGGATAAAGCTCCCCCGCCAATCTGTTAGTGTGTAATACAGTTAGGCCACGCTGTGTGAACTGGACGAGTGAGTTGATTGCGGCAGTTGATGGGGTTTTTAGGACAGGAGCCGGCAGGTCTGGGCCGAGGGAAACCAGGCTGAAAACGGCCGTCCTTTGCGAGGTGTTTACGGCAATACGGCCGTAAGATAGTGGTTAGTCATGCAGATTGGACCTGTAGAACCATCTGACGGCAACAGCCCTGGAAATTTGTTACCTTGTAGTTAACATCGAATCAGTTTAATGCACGGTTATTGCGGAGTGTTAAAGTGTGGAGGATGCCGGGCTGGGAATACGCGACGGGTGTAAAAAGTTGTTTTTGTGAAGAAGAAACTGCTAGCTCGTGGTGTTTTTTGGGCACAACGACATTTGGACGTAAATGAGGAATTTAACTACTAGAGTTTCGTGTTTTGTAATTGAACAACTATGCAGGGCTCACAGGACACAGTAATTAGTATATGAGAATCGATATCCACGTCTGAAGCCCAAAAAGTGGTGAACATGGATAGAATGGTGGCCTTATGGTTAGCGTTGTCGACTTAAAAACTAAAGGTTCAGAGTTCGAATCCCTGCCAGGTCCCAACATGTTGTACCTATTAAAAAAGACACTTAACACCAATTTGGTCACTTGACAGGTGAAAATGAGTACTACCTAGTTTTATTTAGCCACGTCCTCTACGATAGGTCGTAATGTAGAGGTCCTGTATTGTTTGAGGAGAACGACACATCACGCAAGTTTTATTTATTTAATCACAAGATGGCTGGGTTGACCCTTCTGTTTGTATGTAATAGATTTCCAAGCTTGCAGCATATATAGGACAACAGTCATGTTACATTCAGCCAGGAGACAAAATTGGACAACTTTCAGTAGCGACAAGTAAAATCTGATATTACAAAATAAAATAATTGTCCATAACTCAAAGTCTTAGCTGTTCCAAGGTCAAACACAATCAGGGTCAAAAATTGAAGAGGAGGTCAGAGGTCAAGAAGTGTATCATATTTATCAGAGCCTGGTCTTATGCCACTTGTACTTAAGGTAAAAACATTATGTTATTCATTGATGGCAGTTTATGAATAACAAAATAATAAATATAATACAATGTAATTACAAAACGAATGACAAAAAGTATCACTCGAGGGTCAGCTTCCCCTTTCTGCAATCGTACTCAGAAATTCTACTGCATAGCACACTTCTCTACATACATTTTGTAACGTAGCTACACCTACACATAGCCTCTATCTCAACCTGGCCACAGTCTAGATGGGTCCCAGAAGTGGATGTTTTCACAGTTCCAGGTCATGCACCTGCTTCCTGAAGTCACTGTCACTCTGAGTTGAGTCCATCCTTCAAATTGGACCTGCGCCGTCGGTTGACAAAATTCCAGAGGGGTTGGGTGAAAGGGCACATAGGAAAGTAGTCAGCGGAGCACCTGGGGTCCTTGTGGGCGAGCACTTTTCATAAGTGTCGTCCCTTGAGAGACCTGAGGTGCAGTCCTGTCCTATTCAATTTTGTGCGTTGAACCGACCATAAAATGCACTCGACACAAAAAGTTTGGAAACTGAAATTTGATCATATCTCCATATACTACTTCTATATTTCTGTCACAAAAAGAGTGAGAAACTAGGGATTGTGAACCGACACAAAACTTTTTACCTCAGCCTTCATCAAGGAAAATGACCCATTACTTTGGTCACATGACCTTAAGGACACATGAGATCTCGAGTCATAAATGCCCAAAAGCCTTGAATTTTTTTTGTCCCCATTCATGAACCAACCGACTTAAATGAACTTTCAGCTTTAGATTTTATTATTTAAAGTAGATAAACATGTTGCACACAAAAATATTTTTAAAGCATCTTATTACATATTTTTCTGCATCAGTATTTGTTAGATAAGGGCCATGTGTCTGATGCAAAGAAGTAAATATTAATTAGATTAACTTAAGTCAACACGAGATGATTAAACGTTTGTGTGTAACTGTCTTTAGATGTGGGCTAACTATGAGGAGCCCAAGGACATTGTGGTAGTGGAGGAGTCAGAGCGCAATGTCAGCTACAAGGACGTGGTGGTGACGGAGGTCGGGGAGGAGATGAAGTTCTACGCACAGCACGTGGAGACTGGTAAGTACACAATCTTCATGTGGGAATTCCAGTGAAAGCTCATCTGTGTTGGTGAATCCATAGTTAGCAATACTAAGTTACTAAACGTTGGCTCATGATTCCAAATCATATATATAAGAGGGTAGGTGTGCGTCGTGGGCGATTCATGGAACCAAAAATATGTTTCTGCGAAGAAAACAACCCCTTAATTGGTTTATTCCGGTGATGCCGGCATGTTGGTACAAATAAAGGGTAAAGAGTACATAACCTTGTATTATAGTGGGGAATAGGACAGATATGCCCTATGTTAGGTGCTGAATCCACAAATAGTGTCATCTTGAGACTAAAATACAGTCTCAAGTTGCATCAAAATCCGTTAGTTGTAGATACGTTGATGACAGTTAGACATCCATGCAGGTAAACAATACTCAAAGACAAATCAAACTCTACTGCTGTACTGCTGGATAAATAATAGAAAATTTCCCGAAGTTATCTAATAGACTAGTATGTTAGTTATCCAGTAGTAGAGTTTGATTTGTTTTTTTTAACACCGTTGTCTAGTTTAAACTTTGTCCCAACACAAAAAAGGAACTGACCATAAATTTTCGGTTGATCTCATCAACCTTTGTCAGGTGTGTGATCCACAGACTGCCAGGAATGTTCAATTGGAGCCAGAATGGTTTTGCATAATTAGACAAATAAACTTTAATGGAACTCTAGATATCTAGATACATATATCTCACAGAGGAATTTGTTCTTGGAACTGTCATTTAACTTTTCATCGTCTGTTCTTCCAAGAAAATCTGATTAATTGTTGAATCTGATTAGAGATGAACAAAGTACCAATTAACATTAGAGGATTAGTTTAATTGCCTAGCTGTGCAACCACCAATTTAGATTGGATTTATGGTTCTCAATTATGAATAAAACAAAAAAATCACAAAATGTTTCATAGTTATATGAGATCTTTGATTTCATGTTTGCCACTTTTCCACATCCAGATCTTCAATCAATTTTCCGTTATTAAGTTTCAGATATCACAGCCTTGCTATGTTATTGTATTTTTATCAATAAAGCCTTTGACTCAGTTTTAAGGTTGTAAAAGCGGTTATGTCTCATAAATGTTTCCCTTTCAATGGAGGGGAATCCATAAAATCATACAGTTAAAAATGTTGCTTTTTATTGCATAATAATCAAGTTACAGTTACTTTAGCACATGGACATGAAGTAAATGTGTTTATGAAGAACCGCCTCCATATATTTTATGCTTTTTGTAGCTAATAATGGTTTACGACTGATTTTATGGTAATGGATATTTTATATATCATGTATCATAAAATGATCAAGCCACACTTAGTCCCAGGCTCTTAGTCTACTAAGTTTTACTTAATGGTAAATTTGTTCCGAAAATTCTGCCAAATAACTTTGTTTTAGAAGTTTGTGTTTACTAGTTCCAGATAGACAACATCATTAACATCATCTTAACACCCCTACACTTTCATGTATCTTGGTATAGCCCCTTGCAAAATTTGTCTACTTCCCCATCACAATGTCTTTGAGACCTTGACCCTTTTGACTACTTTATTGTTACATATTGCATCCCAAACCTAGTAGCTTTCTTTAGAATAGCAGTAGGGGGAATTTTGTCACCTGCATAAAAAATGGTGTACTTACCGTATTGTTTTGGATCTGTTTGGCTGTTTGTCTGTTTGTGTTAACACCCCTACACTTTCATGTATCTTGGTATAGCCCTTTGCAAAATTTGTCTACTTCCCCATCACAATGTCTTTTAGACCTTGACTTTTTGACTACTTTATTATTACATGTTGCATCCCAAACCTAGTAGCTTTCTTTAGAATAGCAGTAGGGGGAATTTTGTCACCTGCATAAAAAATGGTGTACTTACCGTATTGTTTTGGATCTGTTTGTCTGTTTGTGTTTCTGCATACTTGTGGTCAACTAAAAAAGTCCTTTATGGATCGTGATGATATTTGGTATGTAGGTATACAGGTCTTATGAAGACACAGGTCTTAGGAAGACAAAGGTCAAAGTCAATGTGATGTGGCCATGGGCCTCCTGGTGGCTGTCCTTGGCACTGCAACAAAACTTTGTATCTTTTGTAGTTTTTGTATACATTATACTTTCTCCGGAAATGCTATGGTCTTAATTTTTCGGTAGCAGATGTCCGCCAGGAATGAAGCATTCACGAAAGCTCTTGTAGGTATGAGGTCTACGAATTCCTGTTTAATGTTTGGAGTGGTAGATTGTTTTTTGAAAATTATTGAATCGGATGTATGTTTTGCTGATTGCTGATTAAATGACTCTGCAGGCCCCCATCTGGAGAAGATGATGGAAGAACTGCGTACAGAGATGACGGACACCCCCCCTCTCCAGGGCGCCTACACCCCCCGGAAGGGGGACCTATGTGCCGCCAAGTTTGTGGATGAAGAATGGTGAGTTAATGGGATAAAAGGATTAATGACTCGGTGGGCGGGCGGGCGGAAGGTTTACTCTCAGCCTGGATGGCTGGCTTGATTGACAGATGAATGGGAGGGGAGGATTGTGGGTAATAAAAACATTTATCTTTGAAGTTTATCTTTATTCAAAAGTCAACCTGGCAGTGAAATATAAGCATTCTGAATTACGGTGATTTTTACCATTTTTATGCGTCACCTTGATGAGTATCATGTGTATAGGCAAGGCTTATCCTTCCTTAACCATCACCGTGCTGAAGTCGTGTTTTGGTACCAAATCTGTAGCAGTTACAGGGTTATGCAGCAAGGAGGTTAAAGATTTCGTTGTGCCTTTTCACAGATTTGTTAGGTTGAAACAAACGATACATCAAAATGCAGTTATTCCTCGAGGTACAGTAAAGAAGGGAATATTCATTTCCACCCACCGTCGCACCTTTTATGACGGTATGACTCATGTACATTCCAGCTTGGCTGACGCAATGCAGTAAATGCAGAGTTACGAGTCCCAAACACGGCGTATAACATGACAATATAGCCCTCACATTCCCAAGTCTGCGACATTGAAAGGCATAACGTTCAAGGTCATTACCGTAAAGGTAGAATACGGGCACCTTGTGACGCACGTGGTCCTTTTTTCCAAGCCATCGGAAGCCATGGATCAGGTATAGAATAAAACCAGAGCCTCTTTATTCCAGACATAAAGTCAGTAAAATGTTCAATTAAATACCGTTTGATGATTTGGAACAAGTGGCTCTGTAACTTTCACTACTGAGGAAATGTTTTCCTTTTTCCTGTCTGGGTTTTTTTTTGGGACCAAATTACAGCAAAGACATAATAAGAGACGATATAAGACTTACAACATGTAACTCCATTGCTGTCGTCATATTGTAAGGACATTTGAACGCATTCCATAATCTTACCCAAGATTTAAAATGCTTTTTTGCTGTCATCAGCAGGTTTTTATCATTTTCTTCCCCTTTCTAATTTTTTTAACATTTCACCAGGAACAGAATTCATCCAAAATTAGGCATATGCTAGCTTTCTTTTCAGGAAGCCTGATGCTATAAAAAAGATGATGCACTCCTCAGTAGTAAGCTTGGAACTTTCTAAGAATAATGATGGTTTTAGATGGTGATGCCTACATTTGTATAGCTATGGGCAGATGTCATGTCCACTATGTATGTATACTAACCATAAAAAGGTCTAGGGAGTAAAAGCATACTTCGTGTATCAGTTACAACTGGAAATGGAGTGGGATTCTTAGGCCTTCCTCAAGATGAATGACCTGTGGATTTGCACGTGTGATTCCTCCATTTGTGGTTCAAAGGTGCCTGGGAGGCTGTACTGTACCCTGTCTCCTGCTAAGGAAGACTGACTGGCTTGGATTTCTCAAACATCTTACATGACAATCATTGATAATTTTCGGTACCAAAAAGGTCTAAGATTACCAACAGGACTTTGTATGCATACAAAGCTTGATACAGCAGTTTCTTGTCTAGCCCCATTTAGCAAAATTTTGTGAAATTTGTTCATATACATGTAGGTATATTTTATTTCTTTCATGTAGACAATGTAGATTAGTTATAAAATTGAAAAAGACTAATTACATGGTGTTCAGATCAATAAAATCAGTCTTCCCCAAATAGGAAGCACAGACGTATCCCAAATTAAGTTTGGTACTTACACAAAGGACAAAATCAAATAGAAAGCAAACCAACATACTTGCCTTGTACTTTGTGCTGGATAGAAAAAAAAAGAACTGGTCAAAAAAAAATCATCAAATATCAACATATGTCCAAGTTTGTGGGGAAGTTTGGGCAGTAGAAAATGTAGTTGACCCTGATATCTTAAATCTGTTCAGAAGAGGAGACAATAACCAAAAGCAATAGAAAGCATATTTACCTGATACACACTGGCAAGAAAGCCTTTAGAATTGCTCACGCCAAAAGAAAGGGAAAAAACACATAAATCCAAGTTTGTAATTGTGGGAAATTGTGGATGGTCCGTAGGGACAAGTACATGTAGTTGACCTTGTCATCTTTAAAAACAAAACCAACCTTCATATTTAGTAATACATGTACTGTGTTCTATATATGTAAATGGCAAGAAAGCCTTTAAGATTGCACACTCCAGAAACCGAAAACACCATAAATCCAAGTTTCTACTTGTGGGAAAGCGTGGGAAGTGTCCCAGGGACACGAGGACTTCATCATCTTTAAAAGAAAAAACATCATAGTTTTATACTATATTTACCATGTATGTACTGGCAAGAAAGCCTTTAAGATTGCACACTCCAGAAGAAAACTGAAAACACCATAAATCCAAGTTTGTAATTGTGGGAAAGCGTGGGAAGTGTCCCAGGGACACGTAGTTGACCCTGACATCGTTAATCTTGTACCAAGATAAATGCCATGACAGGATATTGTACCAGATGTCGGCAGGGGTGAGGGGCTGCATGCCTCCCCGATCAGAGACATGACATCGGATCACAGCGCCAAAATGGAACTGTCAGGTCCGCCGGCGAACACGATTTATGACAGGATGAAAAAGGTCACACCCCATTGGTCAGAAGATGTAACCGGTGCAGTGGAAGGAATTTGGAGGATGCCGCAAAACCTGGATTTTTGACCAGAAAAGAGGAAATCTAATTTTCCAGCAATGGCCTATATTTGAAGTAGTCTGCAGTGATAAAGATGCATCATGTTATCTGCTTACAAGTAGGTCAGACTTGAGATTGAAACAGCTCGTGAAGGGTGACGTATTGATGTTACAACCGGGAGGTCTTTGATGTAGCTTTTTATCATTTTTGTCCCATACTTGCATAATGTTGCATATTACTCACTCACAAACGTACAACATCGTGTATACAAACAAAAAAAACACCTTTTTTGTTTTGGATGAATGTTCCTTTCTTCCTACAGTGATATGCATACATAGTATGGTTCCAGCCAACATTTTAGCAGAACAATAATAGTGAGGGAGAAAAGTGAAGCCAGGAATCAGTGTGGAGCTTTTGAAAATCTAAACTAAGGTGAAAAGTTGTCATTCCAAGCGTGCCCAAGGGTGGACATTATTCTTTGTAGGCCTCATGTAATTGGAAGCTTATTGTCAGTTTGGAGCTGGGTCATACATGTATCAACATTTTTCACATCTAATCTCACTGACTGATAACACAAGTACATGTAAATACAAGTACTATTACACCTGCTGGAAATGAGCATAACTGTCCACAGTGGGCTGTTAGTTACAAATACATTGTAATAGCAAGATGGACCGATACAAACTAGAACCCTCGAGATAAGAAAGTATTCCTCTTCTTTTTTTTGTATTGAAAACATAATTTTATACATATATATCACAAGCTAATTAGAATGCCAACACACTTCATACTGTATGTACATGTATATCTGCCCTAACATTTGTGGAGTTCATATATATGATTGTTCCATATGCTGTCAAAATATCTAGAATATTCAGCAATGATTTAGCTCAATTCTAATAGAGTTTTGATCCTTTGTGTTTTATCCATGCAGGTACCGTGCCAGGGTGGAGAAAGTGTCTGGGAACCAAGCCAACGTCTTGTATGTGGACTATGGAAATGTGAGTGGTCATATCTCATTACCTGTTGACGCACTTCAGTAATGGCGTGTTCACGTTCGCTGTAGTTCATCGTACAAACTGTATGATTTTTGGTTAAAATTTTCATTTATTTTGAAGAAGGGATGACATCATGTGAATGATTTTCATCTATTTCCCACAAGGGACATGGATATTGTAAAGAGGATGGTTTCTTAGGTGGCATCAGGAAGCAACAGTTAATATATTACATCAAGTAGATGTAGAAACAGTGTGGAGTAATTTATGTTCGAAAAATTCAGTTTCTTGTAGGATGGGAAGAAGAAAAGGTACACTAGTGGCACAGCCATTGGGTAGGGGAGGGGGGCTGGGGTTTCTCACTCCAGTTCAGCAGTTCAGTGGATCATGCTAATTGCTTGGTAGTATAGTCTTGCGGCATTCCTTTATAATCACATGTTCTATTGTTTTTTTGGAAGGTTTGCCCTGTAGCTGATTGATATGATTAAGCAGCACACAAACACCCATGTAGAAGTACATGTAAGGCCATGCTGATTTGATGTTGTTCAATTTCCAGTCAGGCCTTGAAGAACTAACTGCCAACAATGATCTAACACAGCCTTTTCATCAACAAGACTGCATTTTGTACGATGCAGGGTTGTCCCAAGATGGCCTTCAATTTGCGATCTTATGACAATCATACTCCATTACACCGTATGACCCATAAGGATGCTTTTTTTGTACGAAACCAACTAGTTTTGCTGGGCGTCAGTTCTACATATAACTTGTAGAGTCATGAAATGTTATACCAATCATAAAGTACTACCTTGTTCAATTGAAAACGTCTGACATTTGTCCCAGGTGGTTTGTAAAAATGATCCAATCCTAAAAACTTTTATTCAGCCTTTCAAGCCAAGCTATTGGGGCTGACTTAGAGAAATTAGCTTTTTTTATACAATCAATAAGAAGCTATCATAATAATTATTGTGTTTCTGGATAGGGGAGGGGGGCTGGCATGGGGTTTCTCACTCCAGTTCAGCAGTTCAGTGGATCATGCTAATTGGTTGGTATATGTAGTAGTCTTGCGGCATTCCTTTATACTTGAAAAAATTACTGAAAAAATTACAGTACAGTACGTGATTGAATTTGATGAATCTCAAATTTTTAAACTTTGCTTTATTTGCCAGAAACTGTGAAGTTTAGTCCCCGGGAATCTACAGATACCTGTAGTATTTCACATTGAAACACCTCGAATCGGAGACCATTAACACTCAGTCATGTTGTGAGTTGGGAAAATTGAGTCAGACCCTCTTCAAGCAGACCACCTGTTCAACCGGACTGTTTTTCTCTGGTCCCCTGGGTGGCCGGCTTGAGCAGGTTTGACTGTATGTAATGTCATGTAGGTCTTTTAAAATCCCATATGGGAATATTTGACAGCCCACCATGACAAGAAATGCGATGCCATCATAATAATCTTTTATTGAACTTTCATTCCAGGCATTGATTATGATATTGGATTTGGGATGAAATGGCCAGACAGAATCAGACGCATGTATAGTACAAGCTTGTGTTCTTCGTAAAAAATAAATACCACTATAAGGCCACACCAATTTAATTAATTGGTTCTCGGATTTGGCCTCTTCTTTTTTTCTGATTTGCAAAAAATTCCAAAGTTCAGGTTCTGAATCAACTCCAAAATGCTTATCTTTTGGAGGCAATGGTTGAAAAAAGTCCTTGTCTTCCTAGTCGTCACTGTTTTTCTATCTATCAATGCAGTGGTTTTATTAAAAAGTTCGAAATTCATAGTTTTCAAATTATAAGCCACGTACCCTGGTACATGTGTATGTTGACTCAGTGGCTTCTATTGTATCATTTGGGGCTATCAAAGGCCTTTTTTTTTTTCACCCTGTCGCTTTATATTTTATTCGGAACTAACAAATTAAATTGGTGTTTCCTAATGAAGTGGACTGTCTTGTTTGTGATCATTGAAAATAGCAGCGGCAACGTCTTCCCCCAGTTGCATGACACTGACTGATGCACCAGTGTATCGGAACCAACTGAAAAAACCAAACCCTCTTACTTTATAGCCCCGGGCTAAGATCCTATAAGAAAACATGAATTTTTAATTTTCAATTAGAAATCCCCAATAAGTCATGCAGCCACGTGTAAATGATTCAGAGACTTTTTGGGTTACTGAGGGATGTGGGAAGATGTCAGATCTTACGTCTTAGGCTGGGATTCTTTGAGGATTTATCTCAACATTAAGCTGGGATTTGCGCTGATCCTCACCTCAGGCAGGTATGAGGAGCTTAGACAAGTGGGAGACGGTAATGACGCTACACTAGACGTTAAAGTCATGACGTAATAAAAAGGTAAAGGTCCCGTAGTCAGGGCTCGAAATCCTTTTTTCTGCAAACCTGCACTAGTTCGGTCAGTGAACATTGAAAATTACTTGCATCAGATAAATTTTACCTGTACCACTTAGACATTGAGAAGTTAATAGATGGCATACTAAAAAAAACTGTTCAGATCTAGCTAGAAACCATTGCTATCATTTCTTTTATACGTCATAAGTGGTCTTAAACAGCCAAATGTAGCAAATAAAGATCTACATACACCTACATGTATATATGTACCCAGTACATAGACCAGTGCAGGTTAGGTGCACATACATGTAGACATCAGAAATACCTGCACAGCTCCAATTTTACCTGCACTGATATGATGTTTATTATGTGCATATGCACCCAGTATTTTGAGCTATGGTAGCCCTCTCATTCTAGATGAAGGAAACATAGTCTTGAAGACAGAAATATACAGAAGCTAGAAGTACCCGGGTCCATTAGCTGTAAGAAAACAATTCTGACTTAAAATACAGGAAAGAACAACATGGGTTTCTTGAATTTTCATTAAACAAGTATTGTGAAATGTGCACAGAATAGTGTTCTTAAGCTTGCTGACAGATAGATTTTCTTTTATATACTACAAAAAAGATGCAAGATGTGTAAAGTGCCTTCCTCGGGGACACAATCGTTTGCCAGGAATGCCAGGATTTGAACCCATGACCTCTCAATCCTGTGCCCCTGGTGTAACCACTCAGCTATCAGCACTATAGAGATCATGAAGTTTTCAAATCTCTCAAACTCCAGGTCAAGATAGCTTTGAATGATGACTAGACTCAGATGTTCAAGGGTTAGGTGTAACAAGTCGATCAATGTAATGTAGCCAGCTGCCACCGCGCCGCCTGCCTGCGAAGCTGGTGTGTTACACCGAAGAGGGGTTATACCAGCTATACAGATACAGAAGCTGGTGTGTTACACCGAAGGGCGGTTATACTGGCTATACAGATACAGAAGCTGGTGTGTTACACCAAAGGCGGTTATACCGGCTATACAGATACAGAAGCTGGTGTGTTACACCGAAGGGCGGTTATACTGGCTATACAGATACAGAAGGAAGCAAGGTTACCAGAATGATTGACACGACGTTCCAGAATTTTACTTGCCTGCATTGTAGGTATTATTGAGAGGATAATTAGCTTCAGCCTAACTAGATTGAGCTGTGTGAAGAAGATTGTGACACTATGTAGGTCAGTGATAATGGACTTAGCAAGCTTGTCTGTGCAGAAATTGGATTGATTATCAATACAGCAAGCAGAAGTGAATATGCAAATGTCTATGTGGTATAATTGAAACTTTTTTTTTCCTCCGTGTCCGGAGGATTTGTTTTGGTGTGTCTGATTATGTGTTTGCTTGTGTACATACATGTATGTACATGTATCTGTAGGTATTTCTACATATCAGGCATGTCATGGACAAGAAGTTAGGTGCTAACACTACCAACTACATTTGGTGTTAAGATGCAGTTTTGGGGTTACTCACGCCATTGAGTGGAGTGACAGACCCGTATCTATTGTTCTCTAGTAGGTATTTCTACACGTCATATTACGCATGTCATGGACAAGAAGTTAGGTGCGCTAAGAGCAGAATGTACAATGTAGGTGTTAAATGCCTTTCCATGAGCACAACATTGTGGCCTGCGAGGGATTCAAACCTAGAAACCTTCAATAGAATAAATAATTATCAATTCTTTATTCTCAATCACTAAAAGTCTTGTTTACATGTACAAGAGCCGATGATTTTATGACTGTCTGTCTTCATCGGGACTATAATAACTGGCTTGCTGTGCACTAAGGCTAGGTGTGAAGTGAAGCTGCTAACAGTGCAGTCACAAAATGTATCATTAATGGGGACCAGATCAGCTTTTTGACTGCAACAGTTTTTTGCCTTCTGCAGTTAGAAAGTTTTCTGTTAGGTGGCAGTACTGAATGGTGGTGTACACCATGTAAAGTGATTTGTTGTCACAGTCTTATGAAAAAGAATGTGTATCAACCTACATGTCCATGGCTGGACCACATGTCAATGTTTTTGTTTGTTCATTGCTTTTATAATTATAACATTGTCCTTCAATTTTAGTGTCTACATTCCTTATGCTGAGGTCACATTTCCAAACCAGGGCCCAGCCGGGCAGCTTTTGGGAACAAAAAGTACTACATTTGACATGTACATTTGACAGCAAAACACAAAAAAATCTTATAAGAATTGTTGATTTTTCATCCATGCAAACAGCCTGGCTGGGCCCAGTTTGAAAATGTGACCTTAGCATGCGCATAACCAAGGAAGTTAAATACAATTTTTAACCTCCTTGGCATAACAGTTGCTTTTCAGGATATAATTTTTTGGCAACACCTCAGGTTGGAGCTTTTTTGATATTCATGGTAGATTACACGATTGCATACAATGTAGTTGAAGGTGTAATACTTACCTGTGTGTCTGTGTTCCAGAGAGAGGTGATCCCAGCTGCCAGACTGGCCGCCCTGCCCTCCACATTCCACACCCTCTCCATCCAGGCTCACGAGTACCAGCTGGCCTTCATCACTGTCCCAGAGGACGTAAGTCTCGTAACAGTCACACAATATCTGCTTCATATTTTGAAACTTTTGAAACTTTATTTTCAATACAAACATGGCAGACAAAAGTCTGAATTGCGTTGGTATTTACAAACCATTGAGCTCGTTTTATATTATTATACACAAGCTGTGGGTATTTACAGTTTTAAAAGTAAATTCTTAATTTCTATATAAAACAAATTGGCATCTCTTAAAGATAAAAAGATCAATTAAAAACTCGTAGTTAGGCGTAGATTGACAACAAGATAGGTGCAGGGTAAACTTTAGATTCGAAATTCAGACAGTTTGTTCAGAGTACAGTTCAGAGTTCACTGTCCCTTGTTGAGAAGGTTTAGGAGGTATGGGATAGGAGAGTTTTTAAGTCTGTTGGTCCGACAGAGAGGTGTGTTAACTTGAGGCAAATGTATCTATTGGGTTTAATTGCATAAATTATGTTCATTGCTGACTTAATCAACAAGTGTAAATGTATTTATTGATGAAATTATTGTTTATCTGTGACGTGATCTACAAGTGTATAGTGTTAATTGGTGAGTTTATCAGTGAGTTTATCAATGGTCAATGGTGTTCAAGAGCTTTTGTGTTTACTACTGACTCTATAATATAGAAGTAGTTTTGCATGTATATTTCAAATTACATGTAAAATGTTTGCCAACATGCAATTTTTTATGTGCCGTGGGTTAACATTGGGACTTTTAATGTTGTATTCAAAAAGTGTTTCTGAATTGCAGAACTTAATTTTGATATTCTGCAATATTGCTGAACACTGAAAAAAGTATTTGTACCACTGCAAGTGTATTGTGTTCATGGGTAAATAAATCTACAAATAGTTTGAAGCAGCTGTCCTTGTTAGTACATGTACATGACTTGTATGATGTATCAAACAAAAAACTTGCTTTCAAGAAATGAGTTGGGTCATGCCAAAAAATACCCCGGCTACACTGCTTGATAGACAGTGTAAGGGGCTAAATCACAATGTAGGGGGTCTAAATTACAGCGTAAGGGGGCCCCTACGCTCAAACAGCCTAGTGAGAGCTACGAGTAACCCCCTCCCTACCCTCTGCCCTCCTCAGCCCGAGGCTAAGAAGGACGCCCAGGAAGCCTTCGCGAAGGACGTTCTGAACCAGCAGCTGGTGCTGAACGTGGAGTACAAGAACCAGGGGCAGGACATGGTCATCCTGCTGACCGCAGACAAGAGCTCGGACATCGGCCTGGGACTGGTGAAGGACGGACTGGTCATGGTGGAGGCACGGCGCGAGAAAAGGCTGCAGAAGATGGTGGGTTTAGATAATAAAATTAATCATTATAGTTAGAATAATTGGTTCTCAGATTCGTCCAGGCCTTCACTTTTTTTTCTGATTTGCAATAAAAATTCTGAATTAACTGAAGTTCTGAATTAACTTTAAAAATTCTCATATTTTGTCCTCAACAGTTGATGAAAGTCCTTGCAAGAGTATCTTTCATATGCATGTACCATAATTCATATAGCAAGCTTTAGTGTTTATTAAAATGTGATTTATGCATCTTTTTGGTGATAATCCTGTTGTGTACCTGCAAAAACGGAAAGATAATTTAATTCTTCCAAATACAACAGAAGAGATCACATAATGTAGCAGTTTATGATGAGACAGTTGATAAACTTCCTGTGACTTTTCTGCAGGTCAATGACTACAAGAAGGCCCAAGAAGCAGCCAAGAATGCTCGGGTAAGAACATCATTCATTGAAACATATCACCATTTACAACAGTACCATATTTGTCATCATGCAACATTCAGTTTTTTTTACTTTAACTTTAACCCAAGTGTCACTATGAACCCAGGTAGGCTTATAGCACAAGAAAATGTGTAAAACAACAATGTTTAAAATAATGAAAATCTTACATAATATTGCTTTAACATAGTCTGAACTAATTTCAAGGAATGTGAAATCTGTACAATGTCATGTTTGATGACAATTGTTTGATTACATGTATGTTTGTTTGTTTGTTTACAGCTGAACCTGTGGCAGTACGGTGACTTCACCGCCGACGATGCGGTAGAGTTCGGCTACAAACGCTGAGCGGCCCGCTCCACACCCAAGCACAGCAGCACAAGATGGAACATAGGGTCTTCCAATTCATCACAGTTCTGCCCGAGAGAGAGAGAGAGAGAGAGTACACTTTTCCAGACAAACCTGTAGTATACTACAGTTTAGCACACACAGTAAAAATGTAGTCGGTAGGCAATTATTATGTAATTAGACAGAATATGTAATTAATATTAATAGCAAAAAGTCTGAATAAAAACAACTGTAATTTTGATTTGTCAAATGAATACTATTAGATTGCTGCAAAGCAATAAATTTTTCCGCTGCAAAAAAAATGTAATGCTTAGCAATGATACTTATTAAGACTTTTTTCACTTGAAATATACTCAGTAATCAGTTTTAAAGGGATTTTATTGAGCAGTATTTAAATTATTACTACTCAAGAAACTAACTTATGGCTTGATCTTGAATCAGACAAAGCATATTGGCAAGTAACAAATGTATTAAAGGGTTATTATGTAACATATTTGCACCAGAAATCTAAATATTTGACTCGAAAAAAAAATCTTCATGTGATTGTCATTTACTTCCACTTTTCACCATATTTGTGCAATTATCTCATTTTTTACATTTATGGTTGGTGCTGAAACAGGCCACACCAGGCACACTCAGTTTGTGGTGCCACCACAAAATACACAAATGTAAACAAACATGGCTGACAGCTGTGTTTCCAGCTTTTTTTTCCATGGTGTAACATTTTGGCACTTACAGTTCCTGACTGACGCATATTTGTATTGGAGAAGGGCTGATTCAACTTACTTTGTAAAGAAATGGCCAAAAAATTGACTTGTGTCAAATGTTACATAATGCATCTTTAATACCCAACACTGGCAAGTTACAATTTTACCTACTTACATTGTACATGTACATGTAGATGAAATGTATGGCCAGTACAAGTTACATCTCATTAATGTTATGATGATACATTATTATATTTTGATAAGATGTATTTGCCAAAGAATTTGAGCATCTATTATTCTCAATAAGTAATGTATAACTGACAAAGCAAAAAAATACCATAGTGATATCTTTGAATACTCGAAATTAGCAAATGTAGGATACTTGATAATTGAATGTTATGAGAAAGTATAAAGAGACTGAGACGATAATAATTTGTTAGACTATACAGCGTAATGTTTTCATTTTCCATTCCAATATATTAGCAAAGAGGTCATTATGAAAAATAACTGTAATAAGAATGAACTGTAGGGAAAAGGTGTACAAGGGGGGCAAGAAATAAACAGAACTGTGCAAAATCAAGTTGTTGTTTTTTTCATTTAGTTTATTTCTCATTATTGATGTGAATAGATAGCTGACATTATTTGCACCCTAGACTTATAGGAATGCACGTCGTATGTATGAAAAAAAGATGGACAAAATACAAAATGTAATTCCCCTTTGTTATGTGACCAGGAACGTTCTTTTGGGTTCAATTACTCTCAATTACGCCTACAATCTTTCATAGTTCCTATTATCGTAACTTAGTGCACTAGTTTCTTTTCTATTTCTATGTAATACTGGTCAAAACCCCTCACTGGGGCATCACGACCAGGGTACTTAGTGCACTAGGGAGGTGTTCAGCACTAAGGACAGGTTTACCTGTGTGTGGAAGGTGTTCAGCACCAAGGACAGGTTTACCTGTGTGTGGAAGGTGTTCAGCACCAAGGACAGGTTTACCTGTGTGTGGACGGTGTTCAGCACCAAGGACAGGTTTAACTCAGTGTTGTGGAAGGTGTTCAGCACCAAGGACAGGTTTACCTGTGAGTGGAAGGTGTTCAGCACCAAGGACAGGTTTACCTGTGAGTGGAAGGTGTTCAGCACCAAGGACAGGTTTGCGTGTGTGTGGAAGGTGTTCATTCTACCATGGAATAAACCGCGAAAATAGAAGAATAGGAAAATTGGGCAAGAGTGTTATGTTTCATACTGTGGCCACATAAAAGTTTATTCTTGAAAACGTTTATTTGTGATGATAGAAATACTAATTTAAAGGTGCCCTGTAGCTGCATTTTTACCCATTTTTTAAACCGAGATTGACATCAACGTTAGTATCCTTCGTAATTAGATAATCTAATCGTCCTTCTTCGACACATAAGTGCCTGGCACGGAAACGGGCCGTCATTGGTTGTCATAATTAGATTATCAACTTCACATTAATTATGCACGGCCGTTCTGCACACCTGTGTAAAAACAAGTTTGGTATGGTCCACTTTCAAAATGGCGGTTTCATACGACGGGAATACTCTGGGCTGGTTTTTTCACAACTTTCTTGGTACTTTTAGACGTTTTCGTCGATAGAATGTCTTAGTAAGTGTGCAGCAGAATGTCTGGGAGTTTGTGCTGTGGATTTGTGTCGTTCTGGTGATGTTTTGAGGAGAAAATGCGGACTTCCTGACCTGGCGAATTTTGGAGAAGACAAAAATGGCGAGACAGCTCGGAAGCACGTGAAGGGTAACGTTAGCGTGGTATGAAGACGACTTCACTTACTGTAAGTGTTTCAGGTAAACCAGTACATTGTTTGGCTGACATTATTCCTTAGCAACTAGCACGAACATGTCAACATATTCCGTAAGAAATTAACTATTTCTGTATTACTAGGCAGCGACCGTTCCCAATTTTACACAGGCTTAGAAAAGTTCATCAAGTTGCCGCGTTTTCAACAACATTTTCAATGTGTGGTGCGCTTGTAGAGTGTTAAATGTATGTGCATGTCTTTTTAGTCAGTTGTTCAGCGTTTTAAGGAATTAAAAGAGAAGGAAGGAAAGAAATTCTGCATTGACCGAACCATTTTCTCTCTTTATCTCCACGTGGTTCAAAACACCTGTTGGAATGTGGCCATGTAACGTTACATAATTATTTTTGATGATTTTTGATGATCCCGCCAAAAATTTCAAGGCGCCGAAATGAATACGATACAAAACGTTTGAAAACTAGTTATGTCGAGTTGATCATACTTTCGTTCTTCATTATCATTTGCACCGTATGATGTTTAATTTAAAAGCTTGTTCGTTTCGTTTTTAGAGTAATTCAGTAAAGAATAATGACCAAGCCCAAGTATTTCTGGCGCAAACACTACAGTTGACTATGCTTGACGGTAGCAATTCCTATTTTCAAAACGTTTTGCGAGTTTTTTTCCACATAAAGTTTCAGTCAAATTGGGTTGATTTATTTTATTGTTGTTTCTATCCCCATTTTATGGTCATTGTGTAGAGTTTTCATGGAGGTTCGAGATATGTGTTTGTTGTAAAGTAAAGATATTTAAGGTGTGTGTGCGCATTGCTAGTTTTTATTATTTGAGACAAGTGTCTAACTTCTAATTTCTGTATATTAGTTGATATTTAAGTAATGACTGATGCAGTAATGAGGACTTCTGTCTGAACCTGACAAGACAGACTGGACCAGACCAGATGATTCGATGACCCGAAAGGAATATCAGGTAAGAAAAATCCCAATTCTGCATTTTAACTACAGCTATTTGATGTTATTTGAGACAAGTGTGTAACTTTTAATTTCTGTATAGTTAGGTGGCTGCTGACTGATGCAGTAGTGGTGAATTCTTCGTAAACCTGACGAGAAGATTGGACCAGACCAGTTGATTTGAAGACCAAAGATGACTCTCAGGTGAGAAAAATCTGAAATCTCCATTCAACTTACTATTTACTTTATTTCAGACAAGTGTATAACTTCTAATGTCTGTATAGTTAGGTGGCTGCTGACTGATGCAGTAGTGGGGACTCTTGTCTGAACCTGACAAGAGAAATTGGACCTGATCAGGTGATTTAGAGACATAAGAGCAAGATGATCGACATCAACAGGTGAGACAATGCTTTAGAATATCTGTTTGACTCTAGCACTCTTCCCTTATGTCTTTATAGAAATAACATACATGTAGCAAAACATCTTTCACATAAATTTTGTATTGCCTTTGACTTGAATAAATTACTATTACTAAGTATATTACACTTCTTGAGCCCTTGTCAACATTTGTAGGAAGAGGCAAAGTAAAAGGTCGCATACAAGAGATCATCTTTACCTGGTAGCTAGTTACCCATTCATACAATAGTCATGTACCTGGCATCAATTGTTCTTTTATGATTATGTAGTTATATTTAGGGTCAGCAGTACTGATGTTTCTGTCCAAACCAGGCTAGATGACACAGCTTGAAGTTGACGACAGAGTGAAGAGTTTGTACAGGTGAGACAATGCTTTCAACTTTATTTTTTCTCTGTGTTAAGAACTCAGAGGCATAACAAGCTACATTAACACTGTGTACATATCTAAGGGATACTGGTAGTTAAATTGCAGGATTTTATTACTTTCATAGTCACCTAGTTGCCTGGAAATTTTTGGGGGAGCATAACACTAATTATTCATTATACGTAGGTGTGTCCTGGCATTCCTGTCCTGACTGGGAGAAACCTGTGATGACGGCTTTGACAGCAAACTAGTTGACTTGATGATGCAGAAGGAAATGAAGACACCAAAGCAGTGAGAGAAGACAGTGGGCACACTTGTAACTTGTGAGTATAGTTAATTTGTTCAGCAACAAACCTAGGCTAATACATTTCTATCCTATAATCCAATCATCCAGTCACTAAAGCTTTCACTGCTTTTAATTGCATAGTTTGTTACACTTTTTAGACTCCTTTTAACATCTTTAAACAATTAGTCTGACAAAAGAGGTTACATTGTATAATGTCTCCAGTATAACCTCCTTGGTCCCACATTGCACTTTTAGTCATTTGAGATACAGCACATCACACTTTCTGCACTGTGCTTTGGACCTTTACAGGCAGCATTTGGCTCCATTCTTACCGTCATAAACTTGCATGTTGTGTGACATAATATCTTGCATTAGTAAGGCCTATGCTGGTGTCAATACAGTGACTTTTTTTCTCTGTCTTCAAGATGCGGACCCGGAGACTGGACTGCAGCAGGAGGAAGAACCAGACTTTTGTAGGCAGGGCTGCGTGAAAGAAGATGGGGAGGAGTGAGTATGGTTTCTTTATTAACACGAGACAACACTCCACATGCACACACTTGCACTCACATTTCTCTTTTCTCATTTAATGTTTATTGTAGCTGGCGACTTCAATTTCATTTCAAGCAACACTGAAAAATTCTTCATATTGTATGGTTGAATGCCAAATTGCTCCAAAATTGTCGCTTTAGACCTTTACACTTAAATTCTCCGGCCGAAAAACTTTGTATCTTAGCCGACCGCATTAATTCCTTATTCATCCTTTTCGTATTGTATGAATGCCAAATTGCCCCCAAAATTGTCTCGCCGAAAAACTTTTAATCTTAGCCGACCGCATGAATTCCTTAGTCATCGTATGCATCCCAAATTGCCCCCAAAATTGTCGCTTTAGACCTTTACACTTCAATTCTCCTGCCGAAAAACTTTGTATCTTAGCTGGCCGCATGAATTCTTTAGTAATCCTCTTCGTATCGTATGAATGCCAAATTGCCCCCAAAATTGTCGCTCTGGACCTTTACACTTAAATTCTCCCACCGAAAATCTTGATATTACAGCTGGCTGCATTGTTGTCGCCCCCAAAATTGTCGCTTTAGACCTTTCTTTACACTTAAATTCTCCCGCCAAATACATGTCTATCTTTGTATTAATTCCACACTAATTCCTTGTTCAGTCCATTTTCCCGCCAAAAAAAATTACTTGGCCCCTCACCTGGTTAATTAATTGGATTAAGTTTTCCCGCCAAAAAACTTAGTATATAGAGCACTCTAACCTTGAACTTGTGCCCCCCTCCCCACTCTTCCTGCCCACCTCCCACACTTCTTCCACAACTCTAGGAGTATGTTAGTTACACTTTTCTCTGCACTTCTTCGAACATGTAGTCACCACACTCTGCTACACAAACACTTTGTTGATCGAGTGCAGTCTTTCCACCACTTAGACTTTAGAATAATCTCTCGCTCTGCTGGTCGGTCAATTGCACTGGTATACTGATGTGTCGAAGCATCAATGTCTCCGAAAAGACATCCCCCGGGGAGTACACTTAGTGCATTGACCGACGAGGAGAGCGAGAGATTATTCTAAAGTCTAAGTGGTGGAAAAACTGCACTCGATCAACAAAGTGTTTGTGTAGCAGAGTGTGGTGACTACATGTTCGAAGAACAGTGTAACTAACATACTCCAGAGTTGTGGAAGAAGTGTGGGAGGTGGGCAGGAAGAGTGTGGGGAGGGGGGCACAAGTTCAAGGTTAGAGTGCTCTATATACTAAGTTTTTTGGCGGGAAAA